CCTGGGGTGCCTGCTCTCTCCGGCTCAAGGAGAAAACCAGTCTCTGCGATTCCAGGGGGCCCCCCAGCTGCCTCTCATCAGACTCAGGCTTCAAGTCACCTGAGGAGTTGCCTGATGACAAAAGGCCACCTCCTCTGGGTGTGCTGTGGGGACGGGTGTCCTGAAGGCATCGTGGGGCTGTTTTGCCTCAGGTTGGCCTCCTTCGGTCAAGAGTGATCGAAAACCCAGCCCTACGTGGCTTTAGGCCAAGGGGAAGTTATCAGTTAAAAAGCAGACAGGTCCAAGGATGGCTTCAGGCAGGGCTGGATCCAGGACTTCAGAAATTCCAGCAGGACTTGGTTTCTCTCCATTTCTGAGCTGGGCCTTCGGCTGGGCTGGTTTCATTCTCTGTCAGTTCTTCTTGTGGTCATAAGGCCGATCTGGCCTCGTGTCCTCTCAGTTTCAATCCCCAAAGGACATGTGAGGCTCTTCCTATGATGAGGGTCCTGAGAGCCACTTTAGTGGCACACTCACCCCAAACCGTCCCGGTGGCCTGGGGATGCTGGGCTCAGATTGGCTGGGGCTGGGTCACATGCGGGGCTCGGATCGGCTGGACTGGGGTCCTGTGCACCACAGTTGGACGGAGCCCCACAGACACAGTGAAAAGGGTCCGGGGGAGGCTGCCGCAAACAGCCACAAGGGGGGGCCGTGGTCCCTTGCGGTCTCTGGAGCATTTGACGCATCTCTGCTGTCCCCACCACTCCCGCCCTCTGCGCGTCCCCTCAAGCTCCCCGTTTCCGGGGTCCTCTGCGCCTCCCCTCCAGGTCTCCGAGAAGCTCAAGCTGGCGGAGAAGACAGCCCTGGACATCGACCGGCTGCGCGACGGCTACCGGCCGGCCGCCCGGAGGGGTGCCATCCTGTTCTTCGTCCTGTCGGAGATGGCCCTGGTGAGCTCCATGTACCAGTACTCCCTGACCGCCTTCCTGGAGGTCTTCAGGCTGTCCCTGAAGAGGTCGCTGCCCGACTCCATCCTCATGAAGCGGCTGAAGAACATCACGGACACGCTCACCTTCAACATCTACAACTACGGCTGCACGGGTGAGGCCGCCCGCCCCTGACGGGGAAGGACGCGCGTGGCTTAAGGTCACTTGATCCGTGAAGTGGAAACTCCCCCGTGGTGCTAAGTGTGACGGTCCTTCTCAGAGGAACGTTCAGAGCTCTGAGTTTTAGAATCGCAGTTTTATCGAGATGACATTCACATACCCTACGCTCACCCTTTAAGGATGTGCAGTTCCATGATTTGTCCTCGCCGGGGTACAGTTGTCACCGTCATCCAGGCCCAGAACATCTCCGTCAGCCCGGACAGGAAACCCATGCTGTGCTCCTCCTACCCCTGGCGGCCACCGGTCCACCCTCTTTCTGTGGATTCGCCTGTCCTGAACATTGTGTATGAATGGAGGTGCCCAACCCGTGACTCTTTGTGACCGGCTGCTTCTCCCCGGCATCATGCGAGATTCTTCCATGCTGTGGCATGTGTCAGGGCTTCGTTCCTTTTTATGAATGAATAAGATTCCACATACGGACAGACGGTGTTTCGTTTATTCATTTGTCAGTTGATGGGCATCTGGGCTGTTTCTGCCTTTTGGCTGTTACCATGCTGCTGTGCACAGTCACATACAGGTTTTTATGTCGACATCTGCTTTGTTTTCTTTTCTTTTGAGTCAGAGCCTCACTCTGTCGGTCAGGCTGGAGTGCAGTGGCACACTCACAGCCACTGCAGCTTCAACCTGCTGGGCTCAGGCAGTCCTTCCGCCTCAGCCTCCCAAGCAGCTGGAACTACTGGCACGTGCCACCACACCCAGCTAATTTGTTTGATTTATTGTAGAGACAAAGTCTTGCCATGTTGCTCAGGTTGGTCTCAAACCCCTGGGGTCGGGCAATCCTCTTGCCTTGGCCTCCCGAAGTGCTAGGATTACAGGTGTGAGCCACCGCACCCAGCCTGAACATATGTTTTTAATTCTCTTGGTGTATATCTAGGAATGAAATTGCTAAGTCATGTGCTAACTCGCTGTTTAGCTTTTTGAGGAACTGCCAGACTGTTTTTCAAAGTGTCTGAGCTATTTTTCAGTTCCTAAAGCACTGGTTCTTAAAAATGCTTTATTATGGACATTTTAAACCCAGGCAAAAGAGAACTGCTTAATGACCTCCATATACCCTTCCCCCAGCAGTGGTCAACCCTGGGTTTGCTTATGCCGTAACACAGTTCCCTGTCAGCCCCGATTATTTTGAAAATCTGCTTCATATTTGTCTCATTGATCTGTAAATATTTGAGTTTGTATATCTAAAGCAAACTTTTTTGGTAAAGGTCCAAGTAGTAAGCATTTTAGGTTCTGAAGGCAATGTGGTCTCTGTCTCAACTACTCAACTCTGCCACTGCAGCACAAAAGCTGCCATAGACAATAGGTAATGAACCAGCATGGCTGTGTTCCAATAAAACTTTATTTATAAAAATGGGCAGTGGGCTGGATGTGGCCCCTGCCCTGTGGTTTGCCCAGCCCTGCTCTAAAATATAAGGATTCTTTTTCAAAGTATAAACATCATGCCATTACCCCATCTACAGATTAATAACTCCTTAACATCATCCTACATCTAGTATTCACATGTTCGCAACTGTATAAAAAGTTCTTTATCTTTTTCTTTCTTTTTTTTTTTTTTTGAGTTGGAGTCTCACTCCGTCACCCAGGCTGGAGTGCAATGACACACTTATGGTCACCCCAGAGGTAGCCTGCTGGGCTCCGGCGATCTTTCCACCTCAGCCTTCCAAGTAGCTAGAACCGCGGGTGCGTGCTACCACACCTGGCTAATTTTTTATTTTATTGTAGAGACGAGGTCTTGCCAAGTTGCCCGGGCTGGTCTTGAACCCACAGGCTCAGGCAATCCACTCGCCTCGGCCTCCCAAAGTGCTGGGATTATAAGCTGAGCCACTGAGCCTGGCCAAAAGTTATTTTTCACATTTGTTTAAATCAGGACTCCAGTAAGGTCTGTGTTATGACTGGTTGTGTGTCACTTAACTTCTCTCTTTCCCCTGGCATTTATTTGTGGAAGAAACTGCCTGGTTGTCTTGGGTTGTTTCCCATCATCTGAATTTTGCTGATTGCATCTCTGTGGTGTGTCATGGGAGGGACTCTCAGATGCCAATATATGTAGCTTTTTTTTCTCATGGGGCTATAAGAGTCCCAAAAGAGGAATCATCAACCCTTTCTCTTTTGAGTCAGCGTCTCACTCTGTCGCCCAGGCTGGAGTGCAGTGGCACGCTCACAGCCACCACAGCCTTGACCTGCTGGGCTCAGGCAATTCTTCCGCCTCAGTCTGCCAAGCAGCTGGAACAACAGGCATGCGCCACCACACCCAGCTAATGTTTTGATTTATGGTAGAGACGAGGTCTCGCTAAGTTTCCCAGGTTAGTCTCGAACCCCTGAGCTCAGGCAGTTCTCTCGCCTCTGACTCCCAAAGTGCTAGGATGACAGGCATGAGCCATCGCACCTGGCTCATCTCCCCTTTCCAGGGGCATGTCATGCTGGCTGCAGCACACTTGCAACCACATGAGGAGGAAGGCTGGCAGTGTCAACATTCACCATGTAAACCTTCACCTCAAGCCCTGTTTCCAGTACGGTTTCCCCTCAGCTATACTCGGTGTCCCCTATGCATAGACCCTGTTTTATCTCGATCATGTCCAAGGTTCAGTGGGGCAGGCAGGCCTTGTCTAGCAGCATGGAGTGTGAGAGAGGGTCTGGGAACTGACTGCTTCCTAAATAAATGGTCCCCCGTCGTCTGTTTTAGCCCATGTTCACCCCCACTTCCAGGGGCACTTGGTTCTGCCAGTTCCTGGCTTTTTATGAGTCCTATGGTTTGCATCTCAGCCTTATCTCCTTCTTATGTAAGAGGCAACTTTCTCAGCTCTGCTGAATCAGTTATCACTTGTCCATGTGTTTTCAGCTTGCAAAACTGTGTGGCTATTATCTTTTCTCCAATTTTCTGGGAGTTTATACCTTAAAAAAAAAAAAGCCTCGTCATTTTAGCCAGTTTTTGAAAAGGAGCTGGGATAAACTCAGAATGCCTATTTTTAAAACCAGGAGCCTGTAGAGTGAGTCTTAGAAATTAGAGGGTGGGTAGGGTACACTCATGTCCCCACCCCCTTCCTCTTTTGATAAGATGCTGTACTGACAAAAATGATTCATTTGCCTCCTGCGGCTGATCTATTAGCTTGCTAGGGCTACCATCACAAAATGCCATATACTAGGTAGCTGAAACGACAGAAATGTATTTTCTCAGGATCCTGGAGACTGGAAGTCCAAAACCAAGACTTTGGTAGATTTGGCTTCTCCTGAGGACTCTCTCCTTGGCTTGTAGCTGTCTTCCTCCTCTTTTTTTTTTTTTTTCAGTTGGGATCTCACTCTGTCACCCATGCTGGAGTGCAGTGGCACAATCCCGGCTCACTGCAGCCTCAACCTTCTGGGATCCTCTTGCCTTAGCCTCCCAAAGTGCTGGGGTTATAGGCATGAACCACTGCTCCTGGCCCGATGGCTGGCTTCTCACTGTGTCATCGCATGGTCTTTCACCTCTGCATGTGTGTCCCTGGTGCCTCTCTGTATATCTAAATTTCTTCCTCTTACAAGGACACAAGTGAGATTGGAATTGGGTCCACTCCGTTGGTCTCATTTTTACTCAGTCACCTCTCTAAAGACCCTGTCTCCAAATGCAGTCATATTCCGAAGTGCTGAGGTTATAAAGTTTGGGAGATATAATTCAGTCCATAACAGCTGGGCATAAAATTGTTCCTACAGGGCTCACTTAAGTAGCCAGTGCTCCTAACACATTAAAGTAGAATTTAAATCACAAATTTTGACTTATACATTTTTTTTTCAGGAATACATTTCTTTTGTTAAACAAAAAAGAAGAAATCTAATATTGTGCATCCATCAATAGAGAGTCTGTTGATAGAGTATGCTTCCTCTGTAGCAGAGGTTGGCAAAACCACGGCCAGCAGTCCAATTCCAGCCCACGCCTGCTTTTGTAAATAAAGTTTTATTGGCACATGGCCTACACATTTCATGTCTATTATCTATGGATACTTTTGCCCTACGGTGGGACAGAGACCCTCTAGCTTGCAAAGCCAAAAATATTCACTCTCTGGCCCTTTCTAGAAGGCTTGCTGGCACTGCTCCCAGTCTGTCATAGACGAGAGCTGACATAGAAGTTAGGCAAACACCCGCATTTGGCTGGGAAGGTGGCCTCTTCCCCGGGCCTACTATTCCCACTTCCCCCCGAGGGGGTGTGATACATGCCTCCCGTAGACGTAACCCTTTCCGCTGTGTTCAAGTGGATGTCACTGCACACTGCACTTGGCTGTGACCCCGGAGTTGAGCCCATCTTTTTTGCACTTAGATATTCATAGACATTGGGTACACACAGAGGGCCAGATGCAGCTGTGCTCCTTGGGTGTATCGCTTTATTTCTCTGAGATGTAAGCACACTGTGCATAAGAAACTGTTTTAAAAATGAATTTTTAAAAATCCCTGCCATTTGATGCTTCCCACAGGGTTGTTTGAGAAGCACAAGCTACTCTTTTCTTTCAATATGACCATCAAGATCGAGCAAGCGGAAGGGCGAGTCCCTCAGGAAGAACTGGATTTCTTTTTAAAAGGTAATGGATCTGCCGAGTTTCCTTCTTCCCAACCACCTTGATCTACAGGGAACACGCATATGAGTTTGTTTGTTAAAATAAGCAACAAAAAATTCTCCTTACAACTCAGACCCCAGCGGCACTGCTTTAAATACCGGGGGTGCCAAAAAAATGCATACACATGTAAGAGAGGTTATCTGTGTACTGCTTTTAGTTCCCCGTCATCAGAAGTGTCTGGATGCTGTAACCACTTTGAGCACCTCTTATAATTGCAGAAGTCAAACGTGACTTGTATTCATCTTTTGTTATTGGTATATATTGAATATTACAATGTTAATACAGTTTTTTCCTTTCTTAAAATGTGTATGCATTTTTTGGCACCCCCCCCCCCGTATTTCAGTCGCGAATTCTAGCCTCAGAAATGGTTCCGGTTGAACTCAGAGCAGCCAGCTGATGCCTCGGGGCTGCCCTGAGGCTGGATGTGGTGCCGAGAACTGGCTGGGGTCGAGAACTGGCTGGGGTCGCTGACGGTGATCAGGACAAGCCCTGGCCTCCTCTTTTCCGTCTCTGTCTTGGGAAGTGGCCTTTTTCCTGGAGTGCAGGAAGGCGAGGTACTGAGCTGCTGGCTTTGCGTTGGCGGTACAGTGGCTGTTAACTTCTCTTTGATCGTGATTAGGAAACATTTCCCTGGAGAAAAGCACACGAAAAAAGCCCTGCACGTGGCTGTCTGACCAGGGATGGGAAGACATTATTCTTCTATCAGAGATGTTTCCGGACATCTTTGGGCAGCTTCCTGGTGATGTGGAGAGTCATCAGATTATCTGGCAGGAGGTGAGGTTGCGTTCTCTTTCTCCTCCTCTCCTTCCCCACATGTCAGCAATCTCCAGATTAAACTGTGGCCTCACCTCTTGTGAGTGAGAAGATACCCTTATGAATGACCCATTGAGAGTATAATCAACGCCTTCTGCCTCCCTGAATGGAATTCTCCTCTGGCTAATTCTGCTAGCTGCGTGGGAGAACCGTCCATCTACCTGTCCACCCATCTGTCCATCCGTCCATCCGCCCACCTGTCCACCCAGATGTCCACCCGTCCATCTGTCCGTCTGTTTGTCCGCCTGCCCATCCACCCACCCGCTCGTCCATTTATCCACCCACCTGTCCATCATCCATCCGTCTGTTGATCCATCCATTCATCCACCCACCCACTACCTGTCCATCTATCCCCCACCCATATTTCCCCCCTCCTTCTGTTCATCCACACATCCACCTGTCCATCTGTCTGTCCATCCGTCCACCCATCCACCCACCTGTCCATCTATTTACCTGCCCATCTGTCCACCCGTCTGTCCATCCGTCTGTCCATCCACCTGTCCATAATCTACCCGTCCATCCATTCTTCCACCTCTCAGTCTGTCCATCCATCCATCCATCCATCCATCCAACAAATATTTGTTGAGCATCTACCATGTGCCACGTACCATGTCCCTTGACGGGCACCAAGGACTCAGCAGGGATCCAAACTCATTTCCTGCCTTTCTGAAGTTCACAGTTTTGGGGGGCAGAGAACGACAGACCTGACCAGAGTGACCTTGAGTCCATACGCCTATAGATTCTCACCCCCTTGCAGGGACTTTTGGCAGCTCCACGTTAAAATGGGGGCCTGTGTCGTTTCCGCGGTGACGCCATGCTGACTCGCGTCTGCTTTTCCCAGTGGTATGACCTGGACTCCCTCGAGCAGTTTCCATTCCCTCTGGGCTATGACAACAGCATCACCCCTTTCCAGAAGCTGCTCATGTTGCGCTGCTTCCGTGTGGATCGGGTCTACCGGGCAGTGACCGACTATGTGACTGTAACAATGGGAGAGAAGTAAGTGTGTCACTTGGTTGGTCTGTCCCTTTCTGTGGGTTACAATCTCTGGCATCCTCCCCACCTGGACTCACAGAAAGCAGCGGTTGGTCAGCTCCCGAGAGAGAACTGCCAAGTCCTGTCTTTGAGCGATATTTGGTAGCCATTCTAGAAGAGTGCTATTCACTAGAAATACAATGTGAGCCACATGTGTGATTTCACATTTTATCTTTTTTTGAGTTGAGATCTCACTTTGTTGTGCAGGCTGGAGTGCAATTGCACCATCATGGCTCACCAGTCTCAAATTCTTGGGCTCAGGAGATCCTTCTGCCTCAGCCTCCCAAGTAGCTGGGACTACAGGTGTGAGCCACCACACTCTACCTAATTTCAAATTTTCTAGTAGCTACATTAGAAAAGAGACAGGTGAAATTAATTTTAATAACATATTTTATTTAACTAAATATATTAAAATATCATTTTATGTATAATCAACATAAACATTACTGAGATATTTTACATGCTTTTTTTGGTATCATGTCTTCAAAATCCTGTGTGAATTCATACTTTCAGCACATCTCATTTGGGACCGAGCCACATTTCTTTTTTTTTTGAGTTGGAGTCTCATCCTGTCACCCAGACTGGAGTGCAGTGGCCACCGCAGCCTCGACCTGCTGGGCTCCGGCGATCCTTCCGCCTCAGCCTTCCAAGTAGCCGGAATTACAGGCGCGCGCTACCACACCCGGCTAATTTTTTGATTTATGGTAGAGATGAGGTCTCACCTGCCCAGGTGGGTCTCGAACCCGTGGGCTCAGGCAATCCACTCACCTTAGCCTCCCAAAGCGCGGGATTACAGGCTGAGCCACTGAGCCCGGCTCCGAGCCACATTTCAAGTGCTTAGTAGCCATGTGTACCTCGTGATGACCAAATTGGACAATGCAGCCCCAGCGCTAGGTGTGAAGCCAGACGGACAGCAGGGGGCCACAGGCCCAGAATGCCTCTGGGGACCAGCAGGTAGTGGGCATGAGTAGGCTGGGTTGGGTCCCATTCCAAGGACAGCTGCCCTTTGCTCTGTTGACTTACACCAGGTGGCAATGGGGACCCAGAATGGCTAGGTCCTCTGCTCTGAAAGAATCTGGAAATACAGGTTTTTACCTGAAACCTCCCAAACCGAATGGCAGCTAACTGACACACACACACACCCCTCCGGATGTGGGCCATCCGGGACGTGCGTGGGGCTGTGATGTGGAACCTGGGTTTTGTGCCAAGGGCACGTCCACCCGGAAGCCAAGCAAGGGCACCCAGCTGAGGACAAGTCTGCTGAACACGGCATGGCTGCTGGAGGGAGGCAGTGGCGTCCCTGTCACAGGGCTTGCCCATTGTGGGTGGCGGTGTGCTAGACCCCGGATTCCAACCAAGGAAGACTGTGCAGAGAGCGAGACCAAAGGACAAGGCAGAAGGCCGCACGCTCTGGGGAGACAGTGCAGATCACGCACTGGCCCGGGCCGGCTGGCCTCCCGAGGGGGAGGACTGTCCCATTGGCTTTTTTCCCCAGGTACGTGCAGCCCCCCATGATCAGCTTCGAGGCCATCTTTGAGCAGAGCAGCCCACACTCGCCCATTGTGTTCATCCTGAGTCCCGGCTCTGACCCTGCCAGTGATCTTATGAAATTAGCCGAGCGAAGTGGTTTTGGAGGAAGCCGCCTCAAATTCCTGGCGATGGGTCAAGGTCAGGAAAAGGTAACTTGCCATCGGCAGGGACAGCCTCTGCATTTAGGTGAGGTCCCGGCCTCTGCTAGGGATGGGTTGACCTGGCTTTCGACTAAGAGTGCCACTCCATATGTGAGCCGGCTGTACTTCTGACCCACGGAGCAGTCAGCACGTACCACACGTGGTCACTGTGCCGTGCTGCCACATGCTGTCCTTACCTCCCTCAGTCCCTGCCACACCCTCTTCATGGGGCAGGATGACCACCGCCTCAGTTGCATGGCCAAGGAAGTGGGTTGAGAGAGGCTGAGCCCGACCATGCCGGGCAGACCGTGGTGCCTACCCACGACTGCTGATCCTTCTGGGCCAGCGAGCTTTCTCTGCTGCAGCCTTGTCGCTCTGCACCACACTGCTCCCTGCTAGAGCTTGTGACACACATTCAGTTTGATGTGGGACAAGCTCTCGGGAAAGGCCTGTGCGCCCGTGAGTGTGATGGTCCCACCTGGGGGCGCTGGGGTCAAAGAGCCCTGGCTGTCACTCCTGGCTCTGCTGTGAATTGTCTGTGAGGTTCTGGGCAGGCCCCTCTGCTGCTGGAAGCCCAGGCGAGGGTGAGGATGGTGATACCGAGGCTGGATAGCCCAAGGGAAGGCCGAGCAGCTAGGCACAGCCAGTTCTCTCAAGCCCCAAACTGAAAGCAGCTGCTGTGATGTCAGCACACGGCTAGGTTTCAGATCATCTCAAAAACCTAGGTTTTCGTCGCGTGCTTAGCTTGTCTGTACTTTGAATTACGTTTGGGGAGGAACGCTGATTGTTTTCCTGCGTTGGGCCCTTAAGATCATACGGTGGCCAGGGCAGCCCCTACTTCTTGGTGGTCTCCTGCAGCCCTGCTGGAGGCGCTCGGCGGGCTCTGGCAGGTGCGACTGCGTGGGAGGAGCTGAGCTCTCAGGGCCAGGAGGCTGCGGCCGGCCAGCATTCCCAGGCCGCCTGAGGGACTTCCAGGTGGTTGTTCCTGCAAAGGCTCCAGAGCCACGGTTGTTCTGGGTTGCTGGCTTTCCTCTGGCATTGCTGGAGTGGGCGTCACCTTTCCGTGGACTGGAGTTGGTTTCTGGACAGCACGGGGCTGGCTTTGGGACGCCAACACCCCCCCCCCCCCC